AACGAAGTCATGGCAAGGGCAAGGGCGCTTCACGCTCAGCGCATGGGCAAGCCTGCTGGCTCACAACCCCCTCCCAATAATATGGCAAGCTCGCCGCAATCTCCAGTCCCACGACAAGGCTCTCCCGGAGGGTTACCTGGCGGAATACCTGGAGGGCTGAAGCTGCCTGCTGGTATGGTTCGCCCATCGCCTGGTGGTATGCCACGCTCTGCCCCGGTCATCCCAACGAAACCATCTCTTGCTGCCAGGCGTGGACCCATGATGAAACTTTCCGACATGGGCGGCGGTCCTTCGCCTGCCTCTCCGACCGCGCCGAAGTTGTCTGATATTCACGGTCCCTCCAATAATGGGAGCGGTGCACCTAACGGAACGACTGGATCTAAGATGGACGAGTTCAAGAAATACATTGATTCAGAGAAGGGGTGGATTACGTTCGACGGTGCTGCAACTATCACCAAGAACGGTGTTAACTTCGCCAATGGCACAGCTTTCACCATTTCGCTAGACGAAGTGGAGGTCTTGGACGAGCTTGGCAAGGGTAACTACGGTACCGTCTACAAAGTGAGGCATACAAAGCCTAGAGTACCGAGGTTTGGATCTGGACTGGGCGGTTTCAAGAACCCGAACTTGAACTCGTCACAGTCGGACCCATCACCCCTCCGCCATGCCGACACATCGATCGAGTCATCACCAGTCTCGGCATCCACTGAAGGTACCGGCAGGGTGATGGCGATGAAGGAGATTCGGTTAGAACTGGAAGAGGCCAAGTTCACGACCATTCTCAAGGAGCTCGTTATCCTACACGAGTGTATATCGCCCTACATCATTGACTTTTATGGAGCCTTCTTCCAAGAAGGTGCCGTCTATATGTGCATTGAGCACATGGACGGTGGATCGATCGACAAGCTGTACGACGGTGGTATTCCCGAAGGCGTGCTACAAAAGATTACATACTCCACGGTGATGGGCCTCAAGTCTTTGAAGGACGAGCATAACATCATTCATCGTGATGTCAAACCCACCAACATCCTGGCCAATACTAGAGGCCAAGTCAAAATTTGCGATTTTGGTGTCAGTGGAAACCTTGTTGCGAGTATCGCCAAAACCAACATTGGTTGCCAGAGTTACATGGCACCGGAACGTATCTCAGGAGGAGGTATGACAGCTGGCGCCGATGGCACATACAGCGTGCAGAGCGATATTTGGAGTCTCGGTTTGACAGTCATCGAGTGCGCCTTGGGACGGTACCCCTACCCGCCAGAGGTATCGTCGACGATTTTCAGCCAGCTGAGTGTTAGTATACTGAAGATTGCTGAGAGACGCGAGCTAATTTGGTAACAGGCTATTGTTGAGGGAGAGCCCCCAGGCCTGCCAGAAGAAGGTTACTCCAGCACCGCACACGACTTTGTCCGCAAGTGCCTCAACAAGATTCCGAAGGATCGTCCAACCTATGCGGCGCTGCTCCAACACCCTTGGATGGCACCTTTTTCCAAGATTGAGACGATTACCGAGGAGGCAGAAGAGGGAGAGGAGGCTGAGGCCGTAGCAGATGCCGTCGGCAAGCTCTCCCTCTCGTCTGGCACCGAGGATGAAGAAGTCGCAGACTGGGTCAAGTCTGTGTTGGAGCGGAAGCGCGCAGGTCACATCGCTCCGGCCGCCAAACCGGCACTACACGCTGCTCCATTACAGTCCCCGGCCGCGAGCCCTGTAGTCGGAGCTGGTGGTATGCTGGAATAGGCGTTGTTGAGAGAGAAAATAAAAAAGTTGGCTGAAGCCACGTTGTCGGCGGGGGAGGTTTATGACATTCACAAATTCCCATGCTGACCGAGCTGGCCTTCGTTAGTCTTCTTATTCGGCCCCTTGCACTTCTCATCTTTTTTTATTCTTTGCTTTGTCTCATACCCTCAATCCAAGTATTTCTACATTGCATCATCAGCATATACTACTGGTTGGCAAGGAGTGTTTGTTTCCGACAATTGGGGTGGTTTCTTCTGCGTTGCTTGCGTTGAGTGATAGGCTCCACGGCCTTTTGGAAACGTCCAGTATACGACACGGATGGCGTTTCCCTTTCTTGATTGGCAATTTTGCCACTCCCCCTTTTCCTTGAATCACGGATTGATGGTCATGATGGATTACTGGGTGTGGGAGTATTTACAACGAAAGGAGCATATACGACGGAGGGGCTGGGTGGCATGACAACGAGACAGAAAGAAAGAAGAGCTTCAAGATGACAAAAAGGCAACTGAGGTGTTGAGAGATCCCGAGATGTTATCGACGAAAACTTCTGTGTCGTGTGTGTGTGTGTACACGTGTGGTCCGACTTAGCATGTAGACAAGGAGCAGCGAGAACAAGACCTGATGCATGTGAGCAGAGTTGGTGGGAGGCAATGGGCCCTTCTGAGTGATGATTTCTAAAATAAAGGAGCGACCCAGTCAATAAAGAAGTACCTTTGCCTAGGGAAACCTGTCCTACGCCGTAATCCAATCGAAAAGGAGTTCTGAAAGCATACAAACCTCTTCGGTCCTACACATGATACGTAGCGAGTTCAGGATAGGACTAGGTAAGTGGATCGATACTCATGGGTGAGAAAGTTGCGACACAAATAGGAGCATGACAGTCATTCAGTTTTCATACAGCGTACGAGGGCTCACTGTCGAGAATTTCGTAACTCTTACATTTATACTTTGCAAATTCTCATCGTTGGAGGAAACATCGCCAAACATAAGGTCCACGCTTCGAGTGGTCTGGAGTGACAAAGTTTACGGCATTAATCTATTAGTTTGGAGTAGACCTAAAGAGCGGTACATGTCGGAGCCGGGTACTAATGACGCATAACTCCAAGGCCATGGACAAGAGGCTGACCATCATTCCATCTCGGGAAGACCTCATGGGTGTATGTGGCTCTTCCAAAACGCCAGCGAAATGCAGAAACAAGATAACATTATTGCGTAAATACAACATACACACGATGGACATATCATTAATACAACATCCTTGAGATTTTGGAATGGTGCCCACGATGAGGAATTGTTGTGGGTAGATTCGTGGTGCTCCTTTGCTGTGAAAGGCCAGCAGCTGCCTTATGCATAGTCTTCCTTGACACGGCGGCTGCTGTTGACGTCGAACGACTGGCGGCTGCGAGTGCTGCGCTTGCGGCCGAAGCGGCTGCCTCCAGAGTAGCCTTTGTCGCCACGGATGCCGATGCAGAACAGTAGAGTCGCAATGAGAAGAGCGGCCCAGGCTCCCCAGGTGAAGCCAAAGGCGTAGGTGCCAATGTGGGCCTCACGACCTTCGGCCTGGAAAGCGTTGCGTGCCTTGACGAATGTTGCGCTATAGAGAAATGTCAGTCACTGCGAACAAAATGAGACGATGGATAACTGGGGGACGTACGTCATCAAAGAGGCGGCAACGGTCAAGAAGAAGAGAGCCGAGGCGGAGACCAGGCCGGCGACAGCGGCGCCGAGACGACCGCAGCATGCGAGGAAGCTGGCGAACCAGGCAAGAGCCATGAAGAAGAGGGCGATCAGGTACATGACCCAGCCGAAGCGCCACATGTAGAAATACTCGGTACTGGTGGTGCCGCCTCCGTGGCTACCTGAAAGGCCGGTGGGAACGTTGGCCGCATCACGGCCCCAGGCCCAGCCAAAGGCCGGGGCAGGCCAGGCACCCCAGCACTCTGCGTTCTGGTCGTTGCAGTAGTAAAAGTAGTTCCACCGCGTCAGTCCGTTGCGTGCGCCGGTGATACCAGTAGTGTCAGCCTCGAGGAAGTAGGTGTTGTTGAGGGGCGCGGCGTCGCGGACAGCAGAGAGGATGACGAAGAGCAGCAGGACGATGGAGCCCGAGAGGAAAACGATGGCAGCAGTGCCGAGCGGGGCGTCTGGAATGATGCTGTGTCAGTCTGCAGCTGGGACTTTGGAGTATGTTTCGCGGCGCAAGGGCGGGAACAAGGATAGAGGACTCACGTTTAACCATTGCTGCGATTCGGTTTGGCTGTTCGTTGGATTGCCTTTTTTGTTCTCCGAAGGGTGGTGTTTGCGATTCTTTGCGATGGCTGGGAGGAGAGGGGCCGCGGAGACCTGTAGGGATTTGTACTCAGCGATTGTGTCTTTTCTGGGTGGCCGGGGTTGTGCAGGAATGTAAGGTAATGGAGAAGTAGTAGATTTGGCCTGGGAAGGACAAAGTAGATGGCGTACGGGTGTGTACGGATACACAATCGCAATTCTACACTCGTCACTTGGGGAAAGGTAGGCTATGGCGTCGATGATAAGCAATGGGAAAACTCACCGGATTCGCAAAAAGTGTTTCAGAGGGACGAGGGAGCTATGACAGGCTGAGGCGGGTTGTCTCTGGTTTATGTTTCTGGGGTTGTTTTCCGTTTGCTTCTAACCCTTGTTCAAAACCCGGTAGTAATAGCTTGGAGGGAACTATAGGAAGGGTAGATGTAGGGATGCCGGGGTTATTGGTGTCTCTCGCTGTCTGGATGATTCGTTTGACCGACTTGTTGGTTCTGTAAGGCAGCTTAAGCGGCTCACAGGCGGACCGAGATTGTAACAAGGCTGGTGGGAGTGCAGGGTTAGTGTTCCTGAAGACTGAGCTGGTAGAGGAGACGAGAGTATCCGTAGATCGGGGGTCTGGGAGGGAAAAGTGAGGGATAAAGAATTGGACGACGGGCGAGCAATCAGATGATGCAAACCAAATTCAGAATTTCAGACAGCCGACGCCAAACCAAACTCGGGACTGCGTGTACGGAGTACGAAGTACCTACTTCAGGTAGGTACCAGGGTACGAAGCCAAACTAGCGGGGAGAGAAGGAGACCCCCGGTTTGCAGTAACTACCTACTCTGTGTAAAGTGAGGCCCTGACTGAGCGTAGCTCCTGCGACTTTTGGCTGCTTGGAGCCTTGGATGGAAGGAAGTAGTAGCTGAGCTTGCTGCTCGTGGAGTTGGGTCCGGTGTTGGTCGCTGCCCACCTGCTGAACAGCGCATGCGTCGGGTGGGCCATGACGACACCACCGAGCCACTGCCGGGATCCACATGACGGTGCAGAATATCAGATGGACTGTAGATACGTACGTGATTCTGCACGTTAAGCATACAGTTGATAGTCCGTCGCACACGGTGAACCCGTAGTCAACCGAGATCTTGCTGGGCAACAGCGCTGGACCGTCCCCCTAGCGCCTGGTTCTCCTGAGCCACTGTGATTCGTCGCGCACGCCAGTCACCGACTGCCAGCGCAGGGACCCTCCTCGGCCCAGCCCCCACCCTGCCACGACGTCATCCAACATCCTTTTCCAGCTCTTCTCCCCCCTGGCTTTTCTCTTTTCGCACCGGGCCAACCACATCCTTCGTCACGATTCAGTTCCTCGCACTCTGACCCCTCGCTGGCTGCTTGCATCTCCAAGGCTCCAAGGCTCCATCGTCTCCTTCGGTCGTGATCGTCAACACGCTAATCTTCTTCAGGCTCCGAACAAGGCTGCCAATCTTCCGCTCGGATGCTTCATCGAAATAAGGCCTGGGACTGTCAACTTGCATCTCAGTATTCTGTGCTTCGTACGGATATCCTTACAGGATCCTCCTAGGTTCTGTTTCGGTTCGGATGAAAAGCACATGGCTGCGGCTTCTTCGTCTGGTGCTTCGGCCAAGCGTTTGCTGAACTCCCACCCATCCGATGAAAACCTCACATGCGGCATGCCAAAGCGGATGGCTGGACCCGAACAATTGCTCACCCTTTTACTGAAAACACTAATACCTATTCTGTTGTCAACACCATGGGACGAGATGCTGGACGTTGTTTCTCGAGTTGAGTGGCTCGTCTTCTCCGACTGCTAGATGCAGGGTCTTTGTCCGTCCAGCAGCACTCTGCATGCCAAGGCAGACCGAACACCTTGCTTCCGCCATCCTCGACCAGCTTTCCGAGAATTGCGCGTCTGGCGCAGCTCACAGAGTGTCCAACGTGTGAGGGGTGGTCTGCATCTTGACATTTGAACTACTACCAACCCACCTGTCTTCGCGGGAATCGATGGCATCATATCGGGATTGCTCTGTTGTCTTTGATATCTTGCGCGGCCTGGACCAAGGCGATGTGTCCTACTGTGGCTCAGATGCCATGCTGCAAATATTCCACCCTCTAGCTCGCACACAGAGAGGCTTAGCTTGGGTGCTCTCGCGTCACCCGCCGGATGGGACGGGAACTCTGACTTCTCCTTCGCAGCTTGACAGACGCACTGCTTACTTCGACTTCGGTTTCGATTCTCCTCGCTATTGGGCCCCAACTTAGAAGACCTCTCGTTTCGAAGTCCCTTCGTAACTGACAAATAAGAAACACCTGGCTTGTCCGTCAGGCTCTCGAGACCATCGGCGCCAGATCGACTCGGTGCATCCGGTAACCCCACTTGGTCGTACGCCGGCGTCGGCTCGGCACACTACCAGACTTCGAGCTCCATACGAAGCATCTTGTCAGCTTGACAAGGCATCTCAATGTCATCATCATGAAGTGCTGGGTGACGGTATCATAGCTGGAAGAAAGCGAACCTGGCCCAGCTGGTTTTTAATGTGTGGGCTAGAGCTCGATGGACAAAAGACATCATGCTTCCCAAGGAAAGGGCAAGCCGTCATTAGGAGGGCGTTGAGTTATGGAAAAGCGCACAAGTGTCTCACCATCTCAAGGAAGTTACGGCATCGTGTCTTGGATGTCCAATGGCACGCACATGCAGCGCGGACACGAGCTGACAAGAGCTACCTATCTTATACAGATGACACAATGACGACTCGTAACCGACTCGCAATGAAGCCACAACATACCGAGGGACCTTGAGGCAATCGTGAAAGCACTCCCATTCTAGCACGACAAAGAGCCGTAGGAGCTTACCGATGAGCTGAATGAACTTGACGACGTGACAGTTGGTGTGAGGCGACCCGCGCAGACAGAGGCCACACCTTATCGATAACGATTGCTCAGAAAACGACTTGTATGCCGTGACAGACTGGGGACTCTGAAGGATCATGAACCCTACGCCCATCTCACGGTGCCTATGACGGAAGGTGGCTCGTGCGTTTGCCGATAACCTAACTCTATCGATAAGATACGTACCGATGACAGTTCCAGCCGGCTCGTTCCGCTAAACTTTGTTCAAGCTCCGGGCAGCTTGCGTATGACTTCACCTCAGCCACAATCTTCGTCGACAAACTCCGTTCAAGTCCACAGCAACCTCCGACAACACGCGAGCCGATGGGGACCCTTCGAACCGCATACCGGATTTCTACATTTCCAACTCCAACCCTGACACGCTCAGCGAATCAGATACCTGGTATCATCTTGCGACAGGCAAGATGGAGCTCCTCAACGCCAATCTCGAAGTTGGTCTTCCCTGAGGACGACGGCGCCGAACCGAGCGAATTGCGACACCTTCACCTCGACGGCTCTGATTCGAAACATTTTCCATCGTATGATTCGGCTTCAAATTTTCAAACTGCCTTACGTCAGGTCTTCCTCGACTGGAAGTCGGCGCCGAACTCCCGCGCTCCGTCGCCGCTCGTCCTATCTTTCACTCCGGCACCAACGTATACGCTTGGCCGCCGCCAAAAGACCTTACTACCCGAGCAGCTGGAACGACTTCAACAGCCTTTGACTGTCATCGAAGAGACGAAGGTCGCGGCAGAGGAGCAAAATGGCGGAACAAGTTCAGGAGAGCAGCAATTCACGCCCGAAGTCATTGAGACAGATCGCGGCGGATTGACAACATATCATGGACCTGGGCAGGTCGTCCTGTGGCCGATACTGGACCTGCACAGCAAATACTATCCCCGCCTGACCGTCCGATCCTACGCGCGACTTCTAGAGGAGACCACACAAGCGATCCTCGCCGATGGACCTGGGGTCCAGACGTACCTTTCCGAGGACGATCCGGGAGTTTGGGCCGAGGCCGCAAGGCAGCGAACAGGAGGGCAGGAGCGCAAGATTGCCGCCATGGGTGTTCACCTTCGCCGTCATATCTCTGGGCTCGGCACGGCGCTTAACGTGGACGTTGCCGTCGACGGCGACGAGGCATTCAATCCTTGGGCGAGGTTCGTGCCGTGCGGACTCGAAGGTAAAACCGCCACCAGTGTAAGAGCCGAACTCGGCGAGGATTCCTGGAGGCAGTTGAGTCTTGCTGGCGATGGCAAGACGAAGAGAGAATGGTATGCTCGCCGGTGGGCCGAGGAGCTTGCAAAGCGCCTCGGAGTCGGCATTGCGCCGACGACAGTGCATCAACTACTTGGATGACCGTATCCTCAATACTTGCCTCAATTGGCCAACTTGCCATCTGTTTATGAGTGGCGCCCCGGTACTGGCCCATGGATAAGACGACGGCCAGAAGCAAGAATGCTGGTGACCGGAGTGCATCACGGGTTACACAACGTGTGGCCTGCCCGCCTCTTTTCCTCTGCTCGTCAGCCATCAAATTTTGAGCCCCTCTTTTGGATGTCGGGGCAGCCAGCATTTGACCGGACCGTTCGCTATGAACGGCACCTGTTGAAGAGAGACGCGCATTCCGTGGTCGGTCCGGGTCAGCATATCCTTTCGCACTCTCTTCTTATTCCCGGAAGAGCCAGAACGTAGGGTATCAAATTCCGGCTCGCTGGGAGCCTGATTATTTCCGGTGCGGCGGGGGCGAGGATACCTCACCGGACATTGTCGATTATGATACCCCCATCTGCATCAGCAAACACCTTTTTTTTTTTATATCTTGGCATATCAGATCCCAGCCTGCCAAGCCAGGACGACCTCTTGGTCTTGCGTGGCGAAGCATCTTCATCACCTCTGCAGACCGGAGGGGCAAAGCAAGGTAGGTATGTCGGCATTACATATCACGAATACGATATCTCACTGCCATTGAGTCTCTGCAACCAGCTACTGGTTGTAGATTACCATGTCGATATCACGCTTATCGAGAGCCTTGGCAGCTCGCACTTTGTCAAGCTGCCACGCATATCTTCCCGTAACGTTTGCTCCGGAGCATACCGGGGACGGACGGGGGCGTGGTGGCATGGCTGAACCCCATAGGATGATGCTTTTTCTTCCACAAGAGCGCCATCCAAGCGGGACCCCTCCCAGCCGTCATAGGTTGGCAGGTAGTTGGGCGTAGATAGACATGGATGGACAGCGAGAGCCAGTACAGATACTTATTTCTAACTAGGTAGATGACATCCAACTCCAATTTTCACTCTTTGCGGGATTTCTACCGCCGCATTCTCTCTCTCCAATCTGTTTCTCTCTTAGCAATCGAATAATGCAATGCAATGCCCACCCGTCCCCATGCTCCGGGCAAAGTCCATGATATGCCGCGCCAAGCCCCACCACCCGTGGGACCTCAAGCTCACACCTCACATCTCACCCCGTTGACGCCTTCACGCCATCCATGTCAGAAAAAAAAAAAGAGGTCAAGAGTTTGAACGGGGCCTTCGTCGCATGCTTGATGTCAGGGGTGCCAGGTGGCAACCTTTCTTTAGCCGCAGACGTAGACGCAGACGCCGACGTGTGTGAGATCCTGGATAGCCCACATGTGCAGTACATACATAGTTCTTGTACACACCCACAACAATTAATCATCTTGGAACGACGTTGCAGATGTATCCCTATAGACGGGGCAAGGGGAAGGGGGGGGGGGGCGCGGCGGCAAAAGATCGATCATCACGTTTCCATATCAAGCCCGTTTTCGCGGCAGGCAAAGATTCTACTTTCTTTGTAAGCTCGCCGCACCAACGATACAGGAGTCCAATATCTACTCAAAACGACCATAAGGGGCAGAGGACTTTTGCGCACTAGTGAGTACTATTAATTATCAACGCCGATGCTATGATGAGTATCAACCCGAGGAGCGAACCCTCCCGCCAAATAAAGCCGTGAAGAAGATGAAGCCCTCCATCATAAAATCATGATGCCTTTCCCATCTGCGTAGAGCAAAACACTAAAACCACAATGAGCCAAATCAAGGCATATTTTAATTCTCCCACAATGCGGGCCCCCAGAGACCGCCAAAATAAAGAAGTAACACCGCCTTGTTCCCCCGCCCCCCTCCATTACACTCCTGGAAATCGCAGTGGTGGTCTGCCCCCTGATGCTCATGGGCCATGGCGAAAGTCCAACTTATCACTGGCGAAATGCCTGATGGTACAGTGGTCCCATCGTTTGTGTGATTGCCTTGCCTAGTGATCCGACCTGACTCTTCCCTTCTTCTTGGGCGCCGGCAGCCGCTCGTGGTGGCCATCATCGTCCGGAGTCCACTCCTCGGGATGAAAGTGAGGATTATTGTAGTGTGCCTTGTTGAAATGGCTGTTCTTGAACATTGCAGTAGTAAAGCTGGGTTCATGGAAGCCGGCTTGGCCGGGTATCACTGACGGTTGCGCCGAGCTGGTGTTGTTGAGATGCCAGCACTGGTGACTAAATCTGAGCTGGTAGTCAACCGGTTGCGACGGCTTCGTAGGGGCAGGCGTCGATTGTTGTGGTCGAGCTGGCGTTTGAGGCTGCGGTCGAGGGGCTGGTGCCGTCTGCTGCTGCTGCTGCTGCTGCTGCTGAATGTGATGATCAGAGTACGGCGTCGCGAGCCAAGGAGATTGAGGTGAAGGGTCATAGGCGTCTGGAAGCGGAGATGTGGATGTGGGCGAGCCGAGCGAAGACAGAGCGGAAGACAAGCCCGAGGGTGGGCCCCCGAATCCGGGCAGCATGGCCAGGGGGCCGTAGTCGAGAGAATAGCTGTGCAAAGGAGGACCCACGCTCGCAATCTCTTGAGAATGAGAAAAGGAACCAACGCGGTGAACCTGAAGATTCAAGGGTGGCGGATTCGGAGGCGACTTGTATAGAATGTCGTAGTGATCGGGCCGGTAGAGCAAGTAGATGATGGGGCCCAGAGTGGCAGGGTCTTGACCATTGGCCTCGTCCGGAAAGCGGTAAATGTTGACTTGGTTTCCTGGGCTGCGATCCAGATACGCAATCTCCAGCACGAAGTTGATGGGTTTTAGCAGCACCTGAACGAGCAGAATGATGCCGAGATGGTCAATCTCTCTGTTTGGGCGTTCGATTTCGGCGCAATAGCCGATGATACCCGTCTCGGCGGGAATGAAGGGTTCGTAGAGCTCAACATTTCCCTTGAGCCATGAGAGCGCCAGCAAGCGAAGGTGGTAGATGATGGCGTTGGAGGAGCCCTGGTCGTTGAAGCGCTGGACCATGATGTCCATGGCTAGCTGTGGGTTGGCAATATTCTGGGCGACATCTTTTAGCAAGCCAATCGTCTCTTCCACCATGTCCTCAAACAACATCCGATCGTAGCCGCCAACGTTGAGGAGATACTGATTTAAGCTCGTGATGCGCGCGGCCTCGCCGAGGATCTGATGCTGGTCGCCATTGTTGATGAGATGCTCAAAGTAGGAGAAGCCGATTGCTAGAGAGAGATGGTGTTAGTTACAACTTGCTTTGAGTGCTGAAGTGAAGCAGTGTTCCCCCTTCCAAGCAACGGACATGTGCGCCGACATGAGTCGAGTTGAAGAGTGGCGTGCTTGAAAAGAAGTGATTTCCCAGGAACCTTCCACCCTGTCGAGGGGCGGGGATGCGGGGTAGAAGGAAATATTGGTGGTGGTGATGGTGGTCAGGATCGTGAAAGGTAAACTCACCTCGCCAGCCGCAATTTCCGTCACCTTGAACAGGGCGATAGTGAGAATATGTCTGGGGAAGGTTCTGAAGTGGGTAAAACGAGCAGAATCACTACGTTAGCCAGTGCAACATACTGCGCGGAGTATGCATCCCCCGGGCAAGGAATGCTGGAATGGGACTCACGATGGTCTTTGCGATATAGATTTCGTCAGCCTTGGCGTACTCGTCGGTTATGGCGTCGCTGGTAATCTTGTCGCCCACCAATAAACCCTAGAAAAGGGCGTAAGCCGTGTTAGCGTTGCACGTGGCAGGGTGTGTATGACGAGTAAGGATTCGGGTTCGATGGGAGCTTTCGACGTGGAGGAAACATCGAATTCAATGGTATTGGATTCAATAGCATTGGATTCAAAGAGGATTGTGAGATTCTTGTGGGTTGAGGGCGAGAAAAGAGAGAGCACGAGCACGAGCACGAGCAGTCGAAGCTTGGGGGGTTCGGCGACGGGAGCTAGGCGTGCGTCTCCCGGAGTCGGGGTGGCGAGCCAACTCACCTCGAGCTGTGGCTGATAATCCCGAGCGGCGGCTTCTTGGGCGGCAACGTCGGAGGGGTCGCCGGGTTCCATGGCGCAAGGACGACGAGTGCTGCTCACGGCGTGGGCTGGAGCGTGGGCGTGATCAGGAGCGAGGGCGGCGGCGGTGTTTGTGAAGCCTGGGTTGGCGTTGGAGTTGGTGGTGTAAAAGGCAGAAGAAGAGGATGTTGTCGAAGAAGAGGCGCCGGGGTGAGGATGAGGAGGAGGAGGATGTTGTTGCTGCTGGAGGTGTCCGTGGAGGAGGTTGTGGTTGGAGTAAAGGTTGGCGTGGGAGTATCCGTAGGACGAATGGGAGTGGGAGTGGGAATGGGGGTGGGAGGAGCGGGAGAGGGAGCGGGAGGAGGAGGAGCAGGAGGAAGAAGACGCGGAGGAGGATGAGGCAGGAGCAGAAGCAGCGCCGGGGCTGTTATGGTGGTTGTTAAGGTGCAAGTGGGCAGCAGAAGTAGCAGCCGAAGCCACGGCGGAAACGCCAGAGACAACGTTGGCGTTGGTGGTGGTGCTTGAAGTCGTGGTTGGAGGAAGTAGTAGTGAAGGAGGAGGAGTGGAGGCAGATGAAGGAGACTGAGACTGTTGCTGCCGTTGCTGCTGTTGCTGTTGCTGTTGCTGCTGCTGCTGATGATGATGATGTGCAAGTGCAGCAACCTGACTCTGAACAGGAACAGGAACAGGAACCTGAACTGCGCGCGATGCGGGAGTGGTGCCGGTGCTGGTGCTGGTGCTGGTGACAGCTGGAGCCCGGCCGGCGACCGGGCCGGGGCCAACCATAGGCGCTGTAGCCGCTATTAGTGTTGTCGCCAACGGCCCTCCCACTGCTCCTGCTGTTGCTGCTGATGAGACTAGCTGTCTTTGCTGCTGCTGTTGCCGCCCAGGATACTGTTGTTGTTGGCGCTGTTGGTATTGATGCTGCTGCTGCTGCTGCTGTTGTGCTGCTCCTGTCATTAGCGAGGTTCCAGGTCCGGCCGGCGACGACGCAGCATTCAGGCTGTGTGTGCCTGCAGCTTCCCCGCCCATCCCCATAACACCAGATGGCGACTGTGACAGTGATTGCGACCGCGGCTGCGACTGCGCCGACAGGGACAGCCCACTGTGGCCCAGGCCCATACCCATGCCGTTCAAGTTGCCCATGCCCATGCCCATCTGTCCCATGCCCATCCCCATCCCCAGCCCTAGCCTGCCGCCGCCGCCACCATCACCACCATCACCACCACCACCGCCGCCCATCACCAGGGGGTTACCCATGCTGTCCAGTCCCACCGACGATGCACCCGACGATGAACCCACTCCAGCTCCAGCCCCAGCTTGGCCATGACCTCGACCTAGACCATGTCCATGGCCTCGACCACCAGAACGAGAAACAGCATCAGAATCAGAGCCAGAGCCAGAGCCAGAAATAGGGCCGCTTCCTGATCCCCTCTCTGCTCTCGCTGACGACAAGTAGCCGTAATGTGAGCCCGCCATTCCTGTATCAATGCCGGCGTCGTGAGATGCACCTCCTCCGACACCATCGCCCGCCATACCCATCCTCATCCTCATCTCCACTCTTCCTACCCCTCTTCCTCTTGCTCCTCCTCCGCCTTCTTCGTTCCTCATCATCATTTCTCCTAACCCTGCTGCCCCAGTGCTGATGCTATAGCCTCCGCTGTTCTGAGGCCGGTGATCCTGCGGCGAGCCGCTCTGGCTTTGCATGTACGTTTGACCATGACCTTGGGGATGAGGGTGAGAGTATGGGTTGTGTGCCGAGGCGTGAAACGCAAAAGGCGTTGGTTGAGGCTGGAACATGGCCTCGCTTGCGCTCTCGCTCCTTATGCCCTGCACTTTGGCGTCTGATTTTGCCGACTCGAGGGTCTCAACAAGGCTGTTTTTTTTGTTTGTCTTGCGTCTCTCTTGACTGTCGTTCCAAGACCCAGCCAAGATACCTGATGTGATGCGCTGCGCGCTGCGGTGCGGTTCGGTGCGATGCAGCAGCTGTGGGCGCTGTGGGCGCTACCGGCTATATTGCTGCTATTGATGCCGCTATTGCTGACGACTCATGCAGTATGTCTTATGCCGCGTCTCCGGTCCTGAGTCGGTCTGAGGTGATTGGCACAAGGGGACGACGGCCAGAGACTGTGGAAGCAAAGGAAAAAGAAAGGAAAACGGGATGATCGCTGAAACGACGAGAGAAAAGGGAGGGAAGGGGATGACTGAAAAACGGGCGAGGCGAGTGTGAGTTGAGTCGCGTCCAGTCGAGTCTGAGTCGGGGGAGTCGGACGATGTGACGGGTGCGATCCAACGAGCCAGACAGCAATCAGTCCAATCTGCTCTCCAGAAGGAACTCTTACAAGATTCCAAGGACGGGGTAAAGAAAGCTCACGGCAATTAACAAGTAGAAGGACGGGCCGCCCCTCTAATTTACCCTACCACGCAGAGATACAGTCGAAACAATTCCCAGGCCGAGCCAGACAGGTTCGTAGGTAGGTATTCGGCTTCTCTGTTTCTTCCTTGCTCTGTCTCTGAAAGTGTGTGTGTGTGTCTCCTCCTCTAGATCGGGTCGGGGATCAGGTCAGGTCAGCTCAAAAGCAACCCGACTAGTACATTCCCTCCCCCCCAATAGTGAGCCGCTTGAATGCAGCTTGGCTTGAGATGACGAATAGAAAGGCCCGCAACAGGGGTGATAGTAGTGCAGAAATTCGATGGCCGTCCGAGGGGCTAAAAAGGAACAATAATGTGACCTATGGTTTTCTGGGGTGCGTCTGGCTGGCCTTGTGCTTTCCGTCTGCGCTGCCTTGGACGTTGACGTTCCTTTGGTGTGAATCCTCGTTGCGACAGTCGCGAGAGGAAGCCAGCTTGTGCGATCGACTCTGGGTCCGGGCTTCGCTTGTGGAGATGGTCCGATGCTAACACTCTCACTGCCTTAGACTAATAGGAAGTACTCCGTATGTGCCTGTCACTGCCTGCGGCAAAGACTGTTATTGCCAAAATGTCTTGGTGGTTTGTAGCCTAGTCTGACCTCCTGTCTGGATTTGGCAATTGGCGTGTGTGGTGGTGCTCATTGCCGTGCTGAATACAGCTCGAATGGGTGTCCTGGACCGACTGGATCTGGGTTTTGGTTCTTGATTCCGGCCTCTCGGCGAGCCGAGCTGAGGTGCCTCCGACGAATGGCGGATGACAGAGGATGTGGAGGAATTCGATGTGATGTGATGTGAGTGTGCAGTGCCGTGCCGCAGCTGGAGATCGGAGAGTAAGGTAGGTACAGGTAGGTACAGGTAGGGTAGGGCAGTCGAGCCCGGTATCGCGGTTGTACTGCCTGCTTGCTGACGATGGCTTGGTGGCTGGGTAGGTGAGGGTCTACCTACCTGGCTGCGGTCAAGTTGACACGATGGGTGATAGATGGCTAGCAGCTGGTTAGGGGACAGAGTAGGGATGCTGGTCTGTCAACCTTCTCCAATGGCAATTCGCAGAAAAAGGGAGAGCAAGGTGAAAGGCGAGAGACGAGTTTCCCAGGAAGAGAAAAAAAAAGATGGAAGATGAAAGAAGAAGGGAGGAGAGCAGGTGTAAGTACTAGGGGAATGGACGGGAGAAAACATAGGGGCGAATGATGATAATCAGAGTTCCGAGCCTGTCAACTTGTGTTGCGTCCACACGCGTCGGCAAGGTGGATGAGGCCCGGCAGACAAAAAGACAGGCAGCGTATCCGTATCGTATCTTGCTCTGGGATCAAAGTAGGTAGGTAACCATGGTTGCACCAAGAACAGGCGATGGGAGCTAGCATGACACAAGACTGGAGTAACGGCACAAGCAGCCGCATGTGCAGGTGCAACAACGTCGGCAACGGCATTGAGGCAGGGATGTTCAAGGGAAACAACAATATCAGGACCGCGACAAGACGAAGAGGAACTGGACGGCATCATCCGGCGCAGGAGTTGGAGCAAGGCGAAAGTACCTTGCCGTCCATGACTGAGTACTCATCCGTAGAGGTAAGGTAGGTACTTGGGCCGAGAGAGTTGCAAACTCCATGTAAGAAACATCAGGTATCCGTACAGATACATGCATCCCATGTAAGGCAAGGGAAGCCAGGGGATAGAAATGGGCCATGGCAGAGCATTTGGAGATGGACGAATAGAGAAAGAAAGAAGAAAGAAAGGGCAAAGTACCCGTAGCCGTACGGTACTGTACGTAGTACATACTGTAGCCTTCAAACTCAACGAGGCTTCATTGTGTGATGCAGTGGGCAAGTACTGAATATGGGGTGCCGTGCCTCACAATGGTTGGCTGGTGTTCTGATACAAGTCTGCATAGTCCGGCAAGTACTCGTACTATGTATGACATGACATGGTATCCGTAGCGTGCTGTGTGGGTGGTTGTGAACTTGTGATCCCGATGGTGGGATATCCAGAGACCACGCAGAGCATCGCGCTCAGCAAACCGCCCGTGATGGCAGTGACGAGATATGAGACTGGGCAAAGGGGGGGGGGAGGCATCCAGAATACATACGGATAGACATGGGATGGGAACGTTGTCAACGGGGATGACGGGGAAAACGGGGACGGGAATGGATACGGACGTCCAGTGTACATAATTGCTAATTGAGGTCCAGCCTGTGGATGGTGAGTTGTGAGGGCGCATTGCGAGCGACGACGATTGAGAGGGGGAAAACGCACCCCCTGGCCCATGTCTTTTTCCTTCTACTGCGGTATATCGCAATGTCAGGTACCTCTTTTTGGTACCCACAGATGAATCGTCGGCCCCGAACAGCCAAGAGTGTGCGGATTTCGCCAAAATGGCACAGCAAGAGAAGACTGAGAAGACGAGGGTTGCGGATAGGTCGAGAAGTTGTGTGCATCGTCGGATAGGTACCGTTTCGAACAGATGACAAGGCTCGAGGGTCGTTGGGTCAAGGATAGGCCGCAGAACAAGAGAGAGGGAAGAGACAAAGGAAAAGTCGGACGAGATACAGAGACAAGAGCGCGAGCCCAACGATCCTGGTCTGCAGTCGGCCCTAGGCGTGCTTCCTACTGGATTCCTGGTCGTCAAAGGCAGACTGCGGCGGTCTGGCCAGGTCGGCGCCAGGTTTCCCCTAAATCGTGGACGTCGATTGGCCATCTCAATCTGTTGGACTGGTCGACAATCCCTCAGTTGACGGTCGGTGGGTTCCCCGTCTGCTATGGATTGGTCGCGAGCAGAGGTACAACATGGGAAGTCGATAGGTAATGGATAGGGTGCCGCGGGTGTGCCGTCGTAAAGTAGGTCAACGATGCCATGGAAATATTGCGTACCCGCACGAGGGGCCACGGGAGCGGCATGTCTTTCAAAACCTGGGAAATTTAGTTTGGGAATGTCCTGGATGAGGTGATACGTACCTTGCTCTTTGTGCAGATTCGAACACACACGGGATGCCTAGTGTCCGATGTAAGATATGAAGCAGCATCTTTCTGATACCTTGAGGCAAGGAATCTTGGAAAGCAACACAGACTGAACGTCAATCGAAGGACCTGGAGATGCGTAATTGAGATGGAGATGAAGGTTCTCTGAAGTTCTCTGGGAAAACCTGCCCCCAAGAGCAGAGCCAAGGTGCTGCTTACCTCTTCTTGAGGTTCCTTGAGGTACCTAGATTGGGGAGGAACCTGGGACCAGGATCGGATGTTCTTTCCTCTTTACTTTGCGGTTTCTCAGCACGCGGCAGGTCCGCCCCGTGACGTTACTGAAGATGATATCAAAGAAGCAAGAACAACCTCAGCCTCAAGCTGCCGTGGTGACGAACCTGCCTCACTTTACCTAAAGGTATGGAAGGCACTTTGGGTACCTTGGAGACAGGAGGAAGATACGGATTACCCGAGGTACCTACCTCTATCAGCCTTAAGGTAAGGTAGATGGGCTTGTCGCTTTGAGACTCCTCATCTTTTCTCTTTCTCTTTCTCTCTTCCTTCGTCTCCGTCTTCGACGTCGCCTCTGTGTCTCCTTTAGGTATCTGCACCTCGCGTTCCTCTGAATATTGCGCGCGAACACTATTTGAGTTCCACCTTATCTTCCATGTGGATGACTCGTTTCTTATTTCCACCAAGTACAAACAGTCGTGCCTGGTCGCCATTTGCACACACGCACATACAATCAATGCCTCTGCAAAGCCAAGATAATTACCATGTGCTTCCTTACATACAAAGTAGTCTGCTCACGAGGTGCCCAAGACCTATACAGCCTGAGCAACATCAACACGAATCCTTCCCAGCGCCCGACCTCTATGTCTTGCGCAGGAGACACATTGACCTTTAACGAGCGAACACACACCTGCCTCATGGACATTGCGAGCCTGCGAATCTGCGAGCCCGTTGGAGAAGCAAGAAGATCAAAAAGACGCCGACATACAAACAAGGGTGGCATTCTAGGGGAAGAGGGTACCGGGGATAGGCCCTGTCCTTCACCGTTCCCACTAGCAAGGGACAAGGTTGACTGGGGTTTCCACTGCGAGCCCGCCCATCATCCCCTCATCGTGCCCATCCCACAGACATTCAACAGGGACTGGACCAAGCCTCGACGTTGATGGGCTGCGGGCATTCTAGGACAGGGTTCCAGGTTGGCACAAGCATTTCCCATCAGCATGCCGCACTGCATCACCAGCATCCAGCGGGCCAGACGAGACCACTCAAAGGGCCGTGGCACCCCTCGATGGCTCCTTAGCGCCATCATATGGGAGGTAAGACTAAGATGCGATGGCCTCCACAAGCCCCCGAACGAGGTGACAAGCTATCCATACCAGGTACGTCCAAACACAACCATCGTGAACAGAAGCTCATGTATCTCGTAGTATGTATGTAATATGGTCCGGACACATGCCTGTGGTGCGATCCGACCTTATCCATCGTGCCTCCGCCCAGCAAGTATCGTGGCATCCGTTCACAAAGGTACAGCGTCTCTCACGATAGCCACACGCGCCGAGCATGCCATCGCCTTCGACCATGACATGGATGTCAATCAAATGTATGGGCGACTATGTGGATCATTGGCAGCCAAAGGTCCAACAAGCGCGACTCCTGGGGAAGATGGTGACTGAACAAGAGCGTATCCCAATGCTGCCACGATGAAAACAGCATGTCCCACCGCCTCGCTTCTTCTCTCGCTGGCCCTTTTGTTCGGTTACCTCCAGCATGAGATCCTTAGCATAGGCACACACGCACATCACAGGCTGGAAGGAGAACTGGGCTCACGGCCAACGAGCCGCAAGGGAAAGCGGGACGACTACCACAAGGAGCGTCAGCATTGTGGGCTAACGACATTCCAACACATGCCTCGTGGCGTCAGAGACAAATCGCCGTGCTGGGTCTTTCCTTTTTCTGCTGTTGTTTCCGAGGGCCGCCGCTGTCCGTCGATTGGCCATCACCTCAGCATCTTGACCGCTCAGAGTCTAAAACTAATATCCCCAACAACTCAAAGTCCTACCAATGGTGTCGTTTTGAAGCTTACGTGCTATCTTAACAGCACTGAAGTTCCCACGAGACTGGCTTACACTATCCGTAAAGTAAGCTACAAATCTAGCCTGCCACACCCCACCACACTTTGCCTTGCAGGGACTAAGCCAGTCACTGGCTGACGGCCGATGGCGGCCGCTGCCGAGCACACTTTAGCTGCGACGGTGTGCTCGGCTGCTGCACTACGGACAAACGTTTTCCACGGGCAACTTTGACATCATGTTGAGCTAGCTCTCTCCGCGGACGGATCATCACCTAAGGCTGGTGGACATTCAATGACACGTTCCGTGAGCGCCACGCTGGATCATGCTTCGGGTGTAGTCTTGCATCGCATTGACCATAGGTTGAAAACGCCTCGCAATATTACACACACCATTGTGAGATCTCCATCTAAGGTAGTGCCTGACCTGCAGCTCAGCTTTTGCGAGGATCTTACGAAGTAGAATGACTCGACCGCCGTCTTGTAGCGATGGTCGGGACGCCCAAATCCAAACTCATCAACTTAAAGCAAGAGACACGAATCATTCTGACAACAAAATGGAGTGTAGACCTTGAGTCAAGTTCACTGGCAGTTGATGAAACCCCTGGCTACGGACCGAGAGATCCGTCTGGGCACTGTGTATCTGCCCGGTTTCCAAGACTCCCGTGTCAGAAATGGATGCTGTGATATCGAATTTTTCCTGTTCCATGGCAAATCATCTCCACCGACTCCATGGTGGTGCAGGGAGACGACATCTCACGCTGTCGATCACTTACCTCACCACATCGGCCGACCACACATGCCGCCCATGCCCCGCTTGTCAGAACGGCCGAAATAAGAGACTATCAAGTAGCTCCGACTGCGTACTTTGGCCCCAACCAACTGCAAATGTCTTACACTTCCCCTTGCGGGAGACGCTGCCGTGAATATCCCGCCTTTCGCCAACCTGTCGAAAACTAAGACAATGTCGTAGATACGGGATTTCGTCGCACCTGCGTTGCGCACCGTCTTCCACCCTGAGACTCTGGGGGTGATCGATTTCCAAAACAGCCTCGCGACCAATTTGACCTTGTGAGCAACGCCTAGTGTCTGGCGCCAGGGGCCAATGTTCTTGCCGAAACCAACTCAACAATAATCGTAATGTGGTGATGGAAGGTACTTTGTTGCGCAAATTTGAGCTTGGGACAAGGCGAACGAGCGGCGCAGCCGACGCCAAGGGTCACCGAATAGTTGGGATCCGTGACACATCGGGATGAATGGCTTTCGATTCGACAAATCAATCGCCAAACACGCTTACTCGTTTCGCAGGCATCTGTCAAGAAGTATGTTGGTCACTGATCATGATCCAACAAAGCCAGACGACCACGATATGTCCATTCACCTTCCATGCAACTAAGATTGGTTGGTGGAGCTTCTGGACGGCCTGTTCCGCACGCGACCTGGACTTGGAGAATGCGGTTTGTCTAGGGGAAAGCAAACTCGACAATGTCAACTTTGCAAATTCGGTCTTGTGGCAACATGGAGCGTGGGGACACCTAGGGATCTACATACCCCGTTTCCCGGTGGGCGCAATCTTGAATCAGTGGCTCACGTCGAGGGTCATTTCTCATTCACCCAAACGAGTTCAATATCCTCTGCTTCCGAAAAACATTGATATTGGAACAGATCGCAACATATTCCGATATGGGACAGACTAGACTTGAAATGCACGTCCCGAGCAAAGCAAGAAACTCTCTGAGCCTCCTGAGATTTATTCTGTCAAGACGAGTCGGTTCTGAGAAGCCAAAAAATCGCAAGGACTTGGCACGCGACAAAGGACCCTTACCGACCTTTGCAGATTGCTTGAACCAGTCTCTTCTTTTTCTCTTGCTCCATTAAGCTCATTGTACCAAATGGGCCAGGCACACCAGTCTCGTACCAGGCGGAGCAAGGCAGAGGCGGCCATGGAGATCCGATACATCTTCTCATATGTCTTGCGTTTGGAAACAGAGTAAGAATCTCGTTCGCTCTGCACGGCTTTCTGCAGGGTTCTCCACATAACATAGGGAAAAGGTAAAGAAAGGATGGGCGATAAACAGCGTCGGCAGGTAAGACAACAGATGAGAGCGTCCCAGATGAGAGGAAACAATTTGATTCCGGCTTTTGGAGTACCAACAAAAGAGCCGGTTCCAGCACCTTCTCGGCAGGAGGAGGAGGAGCATGGGTGACTAACTGGCGGCGCTCCTTACGGACTTTTCAAGAGAGACTGGTTGCACTCTGGCACTCTGCAGACTAGACCAAGATAACAACGTTGCTGCCCCAAGCCCTATGCCCCTGGTATTCCTCTGACGCTATCGCAGATTCGTCTTAGTCTGTATGGTTGAGGAAACAGGAGACTACGAATAGCACAGCATCTTGACCGGGCCTCGTCCACTGCTCGATCATCGGCAGAAAGTCAAGGGCATGTGAAGAAGATGTGGATCGATTGCAAGATGAAGGGTAATCGTCTAGGCCGGGCACTGCGGTATCCGATGCCACCAACAACACTCCGTGAAAGACGATGTTTGGGATGTCTCCTTTTCCAAAGGAGGCCCATTCGGAGCTCTGAGTCTGGAGACATTAGCTGGGCCGCCGAGCACATCGTGAGCGAGCTATGCCAACAACGTTCAATCGCCAGCAACGTCGCATCGGCTACGTTTCCGCCCACTTAGACCCCGTCCCGTCCCACGTTCGCTCCGTCCCGTCTCCACAGGCGCGAAGAATGACAGATGCATTACAAGTCTTCTACG